GGGCCTAAGCCGCAGTCTTAAGGCACCATCACCCACTCGCTGCTGCTGCCTCTGGCCTCCCTCTGCGGGAGGCGACCCGGTGATCAGGGGAAGGCGATGCCCCCATATATCGCCTCTGCTGCTGCCACTCCTGGCGGCGAGGCTGCCTGAGCCTCGGCCAGGCCCTTGTTGCCTGAGCCTCTGGCCAGCCCTGGGCAGCGGCTTGCCTGAGTCTGGAGCCAGCCCTGGGCAGTGGCAGCTGCCATCCGCTCCACCAGGGACGCAGCGTCAAGTCCCTGCCCACCCCTGCACCTCACAGCTCACGCAGCCCCGCCCACCCGCCTGCGCCTGCTGCACATGCAGCCTCCTGGTGATAGTTAGTTGTAGCATGAGGGCATCACAGCATGAGGGCGTGACGATCACATAGGCTTTTATTAGTATAGATTGTGAAAAAAAGAATAGATTTCGCTTTCAAGACATTATTCAAATTGAGCAAACCATTTCATGTATTGACTCTAAATTTTAATTTCCAAACCAACCTCTCACTCTTGAACTCTGTTTTGCTATTTTAAATTTTCAACAAAAATAAAATCTCCAGGTGGGCATATATTAGTAGAGCGGCAGAATGGTGAAGTAACTCGAGTTCTGGTCTTCATCTCCACAGTAACTGCTGTTACAGTTCACTCAAATGTCCTGCAGTGACATGTGGCAATGCAGGGACCGCAGACCCGGATTGAGCCGAGGTGAGCTCCAACAACTCTGCACTTAGGAATTTACTCTCAAAACAAGTGTGTGTAACTGGGCCACACCTGTGCCAGGGCTCAACTGCATAACCAGCAGTTCTATGAAATAATTTCCATGTAGAATACAATGTTTAAGAAAGGATGAGTAATAAAGCATCCTAATTTGAAGCTTACAGATGCATAATATTGAAACATAACTGTTTGGAACTTTGACCAGCAAAAGATTTTTTGGAGAGGAGTATTTTATTAGCGACATTGTCTAGAATTGCTGGCACATATTTTTTAAAATATATTTTTATTTATTTCAGAGAGGAAGGGAGAGGGAGAGAGAGATAGAAACATCAATGATGACAGAGAATCATTGATCGGCTGCCTCCCACATGCCCCCTACTGGGGATCGAGCCCACAACCTGGGCATGTGCCCTTAACCGGAATCCAACCTGGGACACTTCAGACTGACGCTCTATTCACTGAGCCAAACCAGCTAGGGCACTGCTGGCACATATTGATCATAAAAAAGCAGAGCAACTTTGAGCCCATTGTTGTTTTAAAGTTCTCTATGGATGATACTCCACCTAATTGCTTGCTTTTGGGGCAGAGTGCTCCTGCTGTTCTGTGCTTGGTGCTCCACTACCTGTGGCCTTGCAATGGTGCCCTGCAAGACTCAGCTCCATTTGGAACTGCCTAACAATCATTTCCATATGTAGTAGGCAACAATCTCTTCCATTATCCTGAACATTGAGGCCTTTTCATAACCACCATCCTCCTCAATCTCAGCCAATGACCTAAACATCCTACTTCACCAAAAAATTTAGACCAGTAAGTGTAACTCTCTATCCTCTACTCACAATCTTATCTCCATCCACCTCTACTTTCTCTAGTCTCAGAGTAGGATAGGTTTCTCCCCCTAATCAAGATCAACCCTCTGGTCCCACCACCTCCAAGACTAGTCATCCTCTCCTTCTTTTGCTCCTTATCCTCCGTTCTTATGCACCCCCTTAATTCTCATCCTAAAAAAATAAAACACCAGATTTCTCCCTGACTTAGCATCACCCCCTCCCAGCTCCGTCCAGCCTCCTTCCTCTTGTTTGAACATCTTGAAAGATGTATCTAGGCAAAGCACAAATCACCAACATTAGAAAGCTGTATCTCCCATTGTAAGATAGTTAATTGGCTTCTACTTTGTAAATCTCTCCTGAGTTGGGTACACACAAGTCAGTCCTCCTGAGGTTAATCCATTCTGGCTCTATTGAGCACTTGGGTCCACAAAATGAGAACCAGAACGTATGCCAGGGCCCCACCAAGGTGAAGCTACTCTGCAACGCTGCCTAAGGCCAGGTGTCTTCCTTCTCTATTATCTTTTTCATCCATCCCAATAAGGGACTTAGGAATGAGCTTTAGAGTCAGAAATAGCTAGGTTCAAACCTTCATTTCCTGTCTGACCACACTGCTTATTACCTATGAGACTTTGGGAAAGTTGCCTCCTTTCTCTATTTTCATATATTTAAAATAGGGATTATAATACTTACATATAGAGTGACTTTAAAGATCAAACAACTTTCATAAAAGCACTTGGTCCTGAGAAAAAGTGAGAAGTGTTCCCAAATCTGCATGATGACAAAGATTCATCTGAAGGTCTGATAGGATGATGGGGCCACTTTGGTTATGATGAGGAGGTAGAGCTGTCCAAAGAAGATGAAGATTTTTTTTTTGTTTTGACATTCAATAAAATGATTTGTCATATGTATTTCAGAAAATCTTGGAAAATGTATACAAGTCATGAAGATATTGGGTATGATTTTGAAGATGTCCCCAAAGATAAGAAGACACTTAAATCCCACCCAAACATTGATGGCGGATGGGCTTGGATGATGGTCCTTTCCTCTTTCTTCGTGCACATCCTCATCATGGGTTCCCAGATGGCCCTGGGGGTCCTCAATGTGGAATGGCTTGAAGAATTCCATCAGAGCCGCGGCCTGACCGCATGGGTCAGCTCCCTCAGCATGGGCATCACCTTGATTGTGGGTATGTTCGCCTGTCACCTGTTGTAAAACTGAATAGTTATAAAATGACAATTCCCCACCATAAGTAATGTTTTATATTGTTGAAACAGTAATGTTAGTGATGTTACTATTTATTGTAGCAAAATGTACATAATATAAAGTTTACCATTTTAACCATTTTTAGGATTAACGGTTTAATGCTGTTGAGTACATTCATCACCACCCTCCATCTCCAGAACTTTTTTCATCTTCCCAAACTGAAACTGTATCCATTGAACAGTAACTCCCTATTCCTCCTCCCCCAGCCCCTGGCCACCCCCATTCTATTTTCAGTCTTTATGAATTTGATTACTCTAAGTACCTTATATAAGTGGAGTCATACAATATTTGTCCTTTTGTATGACATTGTTATTTGAATATTATAAACACTTGGAGTATTTTTTAAATTGATTATTTTTAAAACTCTCTTTTGCCCTAAGCTCTGTTTTCTTAACTGTTGTAACACAATTATATATCATTACAAATATCTGTTCATTTAACACTTATTAATATTTATAAAAGATAAAAATTTTAGAGAAAACACTATAAAAGTCAACTAACAATCTTATTTCAGAGTTCTAATTAATTTGAAATTGATCATATGCTATTGGAAAATCTATTAAACTATTTTTAGGAAAGTTACTGATATAGCAAATAGGGAGCAATAGTAATATATTCTTGCATTTTCTAGTTAAGCCTACCCGTACAGCAATCTATGAAACCAATTCTTATCCAATTGGAAATACTAAACCAGAAAGTTATTATAAATGTAATCTGTTATTATAGCTAATGTGTTTCATTTTGGGAACTAAACAACTTTCACTGTCAACTAATATTCAAGAAGTACTTACTATATACCAGGTGCTTTCCTTTACATTATCTCATTTAATTCTAACAATCTATACTATACCCTAATGTTCACTTGCTCCACTTGAAAGAAGCAACCATCGTTTTATGTCAGTTTTTTTTTAATTTAAAATATTTGTGATATATTTTATACCAGAAACATAAATGGCCTCAAATCTTTTTCTGGTTTTGTCAGAATATGTGTATGACAAGCATATGTGTGTTTGATGGGAGTCTGTGACTTTTCAGTGGTTTCTACATTAGCAAGTAATTATTTGAATTCAACTCAGAGATTTGTTGATCTTGGCTGGCTCTCAATTAATGCTATTTTGGGCAATACACATGATATTAATACAGTAATAATACTAATGAGAAAAAACAAGGACAAACTGTTATTTCCCAAGATATGGGTGGGATGTGTGTGTGTGTATCAAAGAGAATTAATACTGACCTAGTTTTAAAATTAAATAAGGGCATCATTATGTATGTGAGAGGAATGTTAAGAAATCATGTTTGCATATAACATTGATGACCTGACTTCTTCAACCCGGCGTTGGGCTAAAACTAGGACTATTTGTCATTCAAAAAATGCAAGTTTTACTGTGATGTAGGGAATGTGCTGGTTTTGTGTTGGATGTAGTAAATATACCTTCTCAATAAGTCAGTAAAAGAAAATTGTTCTTCTAGAATACTTAAAATCCTGGGTGGTTTTGTTTGTTTGTTTTTTACCTTTTTAAAAATAAAATTTTAAGAGATTGAACAAAGTACTTATAGATTCCATCTAGGAAGTGTGTGTTTACAACAAAAAAAGAAGACTCAGCAAAAAGCCAGGGCATATAATATCACAGCATTTTCCAAAATACCCGATAATGCTGTCCTAAGCAATGGAAACTAGTCCTGAAATGACTGAATATAGTTTTGAAGTTGATCCTCAAAATAACAACACTTAACTTGTAATGATGGTGAAATGTGATTGTTATCTTCAGTTTAATTGGGAGATAACTATATTCAGAATTCTGTTTGAGAGCCCAGAATCCCTGAAGTCCAGACAATGGAACTTTAGATTGTAGACTAACCTTTCTACAGAAAAGGTACCTAAAAAACATCTTTTGCTGTGGGGCTCAGAAACCATAACACGGCAAGGCTCATAGTTATATCAACGAAAGGTCTTTTATTCTATCTATCATAACCCTAAATAGCTGTTCATTGTCTAGAGCTGCCTGGTACAGGGGAGCTGCAGATGCATTGAGTATTTTTTCAAGCCAGAAGCCATCAAGAACAGCCCCCTTTATTTAGCACTTACTACATGCCACACCAATATTATGTACATGATCTCATTTGATCCAGCAGCAATACTGGAGGCCAGCCCATCATCCCCACCTGACAGGAAGAACATGCAATGCTCAGAGACATTAAGTAACTTACCTAAGGTTGATCAGCCAGTAAGTGTGGGACCGGGTTTAAACCTGGTCCACTGGACTCCAAAATGGTGTCCACTATACCACACTGCCTGCCACGATGTCGAATGAGAACTGAAAATATATCTGAAGTAGGTAAATACAAATTGTTTTTACTTTCTAATCACTATAAGCACAATTGGGTTATCTCTTTTAAATTAAAAAAATGTGAATTATGTTACAAACTTGAAAGCCATCTCTCTGTTGGGCAGTGAGTTGCACATGGGAAATTCAATAATTTCATTCTTGTTTTTCATTCTTTGCTAGCATGGATTTTGCCAGTTTCTGCAGAAGGTTCCACTTTTTAACAATTTTTAACACCTTATTTGGATTTCCAGCAGACTTAGTGATGGCTCTCAGAATAATTCTTGGTGGAAGCCATGTCATTAGGGGACTCTGTGGGCTGCACAAGGTCACTGACTTGCTAAGCAGATGTAGAGCAGTGGGTGTCAGTCCTGGCTGCACATCAGAACCCCCGGGCACTTTTAATAACCGTAATGCTAGGGCTGCACCTGGACCATTACATCAGGATCATGGGATGAAGCCCGAGCGTCAGGGTTTGGGGGGAGAGAAGTGTTTTCTTTTTTTAAAGCTCCTAAGTGACTCCAATGTTCAGCTAAGGCAGAGAGCCACTGATTTAGAGGCTCCTGACGCCTATTGCCGTGAGGGGTGGTTAGTCCAAGAGACCAGGAGTTCATATCTAACCTCATCCATGATTGTATGCCAAGGCTCACTTCAGATTGTTTCTGTCCTCACCTGAACTGTTTTTAACCTACAAGATGCTGGGATGGGCAAGAAATCATGACTTCCTCAGGGTGTTCTCTCTGCAGCAACATAACACTTTACTGTGTGGGAAATGGGCTGAGATTCCAATTTCCTTCTGGAGAAGAGAGAGTCTGATGATGAATAATCTCATTCCAAAACACTGAATTCCTCTACAAAAGTGGGGATCATAGCCAAATGACTGTGTCTCAATCTTCTCCCCCTCTCCTTGGGCCGTGTGGGGAGTTCTTCTCATCTTGTTGAAATAGCAGTTCAAGCTTGGAGATGCCGCTGGCCATCAATAAGCAATGGTTAGAAAACAGAACAGTCAGAACGTTTGGGCCTGGCGTACCTATAGTTTGTAACTGTGGAGGAGTCACTCATGGCATTTCTGGGTCTGACTTTGCCCGTCTGCAAATCATAAATGACTGAAGCCCCAGCTTGAATGGGGCGAGAGTTGATGAACTGAAAGCCAGACACCGTTATTAACTAACGTTCCTATCAGTAAAGCAATTCATATTGCTTTTTGATATGTAATAGTCCTGTAGACAGGAATATCTGCACTTGGGAATTTCTCCCCCTTTTTCTTCAAATGCTTTCTTCATGCAAGTTTCATAAGCAGGCAGAAATACTTGCTTCTGGGCCTTCCTGTAATGTAGAAAACATGTTCAGGCTACTGCACTGTGATCTGTTGGCCTTTCAGATCCTAAAAGGCCTATTAACAGCAAAGCCATGAGTCATGCATTTTTTTCTTTTTAGCCTTTCATTTTGGATTCGAGTAGTGAAATGACCACGGGTTTAGAAAAATAAAAATATTTGTAAAGAAATATCTTCAACTTTGAATTTCAGTTGTTCCCATAATTCCCCCAGATGTTTATCAATATGCTTAGTTTACACATTTGTATAATGTGCTTATTGTATAATACCTATAAAAGTATATTTATCTAGAATATATTTACTATATTAAATCTATTCTAAAAGATTTATCTACTAAATTATTTTCTGTAATGTGATAGGCTTAAGTGAATAAGTCTTTACCTTCATAATTTTTAGAATTAGGCCCTCTCAAAACCGTTAGATCAAAACAACAACAACAACAAAAACTCTTAGCTGACTGTGTACCCAGATATGCACATGAATATAGTTAGAACTCCACAGGGCGTTTTTCAGTGTGGGCTAAAAGGGGAAGCTCCTTAGAGTTCAACAAGTTTTTAACCTGCATAGTCCCACCTGAGTACAGTTATGAAACTATGTAAGATAATAATGATAAAAAATAAGATGATGTTTAAAATGTGCCATCTTACTGAATGTTGAGTATGGCTTCATACTGTACTGTATTGCTAAAATCTGGATTGCTATATGGACAAGGAATCATTGCTTACAAGACAAGCATTAGGCTTCAGTGACATCCGAAATTACCACAAAATCAGGAAGAAAACAAAGAGGGTTGACAAAAACTAGAGCATCATATTAAAGTAAGCAATCAGAATGTGAGCATTGGGACGTCTTGCATAACGAGTGTTTTCCTGAATCTCCACATGGTGTGATAAATGCCTAGCCTGATGGGTCCAGTCTGAGGAGTCCTTTTCAGCTTGGCTTGCATCTGGTGTCCTCATGACAACAGGCTATAGGTTCTTTGCCTGAAGCCTAGGAGTTCTGAGAACCCCCTTCCTGTACTCCCTTTAGGTCTGGAGTCAAAAACTGAAATGTGCACAGAAGCCGAACAGTTCATGTAAATGAGAGCAGGAGGCCAGATATAAACCTAAGGGGAAGGTGGAGACTGCGGCAAACTAGAGAGGGTGTGATGCAGCTAAAGGGACCAGCTACTGCACGGCTCCAGCTGATTTGAGCTGTGTGGGAAGATAATGTGCGGCCACTGAACTTTTTTTTAAATTCTCTTCATTTAAAGTGTGACCAATTATTCAACACATTTTTAAAACATATTTGGGTACACAGTCAGCTAAGAGTTTCTTGTTGTTTGGGATAAACAAAATGCAATGACAGGCTGAATAGAGCCCCCACATCAGTTTAGGACTTCTGCTGTGTTAAGAGAATGAGCCAATGTATCTATTTCAGGTCTACCTTCCTTGAACACCTAGAACCTTGTGCTCACAGTGAAATTATTAAAACCCATCTTTGCATGCGAGAAGCCTTTTTTCGTATAAAGCCATGGGGTTTGACCCTTTGAAGTCCCCGAGGTGCATTACCTCACCCCTACTCAGAATGTCATATACCTAGATTCCCCTTTCTGTCTGAGCCTCTCATGTCAGGTGGGGTCTCTGACTCTCTCGTATATGCGGGATTCCCATACATATGTATGTATTAAATTTGGTTATTTTCTTTTGCTAAAAAAAAAAAAAAAGAATAAATACATACATAAAGCAGTGGGGGTGTTTTATTTAACAGACCTAGAAAAGTTTTATTCTTTGCCTTTATATGAGGGTTTACTAAGCAAGCAGAGAAATAAAATGCTTTTAGACAATTCCCTTGTCCATGTTCTGCGGCAGGACCTTTCATCGGCTTGTTCATTAACACCTGTGGCTGCCGTGGGACAGCGATCATCGGAGGACTCGTGAACTCTCTGGGCTGGGTACTGAGTGCCTATGCTGCCAACCTTCATTATCTCTTTATTACCTTCGGAGTGACAGCTGGTAAGCATATCGATTTTATTTTAATTTGACGTTAAATGTTTTGATTGGGCATTTTGGCAATGAATTTTATTGTGCAGTAAAGAGACCCATTAAAGTATTTTGTCTTTCTGTCTCCTCCATTCCCCCCTCCCCCATTTTATCCTCCAGGAAATACTTTTTAATATATTAAATATGCCTTAAGTATGCCAGAACAACCTAACAACTGTACTTGGTCTAATAGAATTTTTTTTATAGAGAGAGGAAAGGAGGAAGGGAAGAAGAAAGAAACACCCCAACTGGACCCAGGAGATGAACCCACAACCCTTTGGTGTCACGGGCAGACACTCTACCCATTGAGCAACACCAGTCAGGGCACTCACTAATAGAATTTAATTAAATTTTCCATACCTGGTTCTAAGCGCTATGCTTTCTCTTATAAGTACAGGAAAGGGGGGGTAAAAATACGGATGTAGGTGAAATATTCAGGAAATTAGTAACATTCTCATTTAAAAAGTGCAGAATTAAGCATGAATTACAGAATAATCATTTTGGCTTTCAGCCCTGTTCAAATTAATGACATAGCAGCAAAACCCATCTACATGTAGAGACCTAAGAAGCAAATCTAGAGCACAGTTAGAGTGGTAGTCCCCAGTGGAGAGGTAAAAATTGGCTGCCGAGCGGCACGGTTTGCATATTCGTTCAGACAAATATCTTCCCAGCCATAATTTCCTTTATCAACAGGTAGCAGAATTCACACGGATAAGAAGTAGTTTCTTTCTGGTATAGTTGTTCTTAAATGAACCAGATCCAGCTGACTTTCTTTTTGACTACAGACTTTTTTTTAGAAACTTTTCCTCATAACAGTCCAATGAATAGAGCTCGAACGGGATTTTTGTATTATAGGTAAGGAGATAAACACTCTTCTGCTGAGACTGAGACACACGGGGGTCTCTGGGCAGACACGTGGGCCCCCCTGTGAAATTGATCTGGTGGTGTTTGGTTATATGGACTATGACTTGATTCTAATAACCAGGACTTGAGACTTATTCTCATCATTTAGAGATTTCTGTTACATTCTTTGTTTAAATGGAATTTTATTTCTTGCAGTTAATTGCTTATTGATCCTCAAATATCTATCTATTTATTTATTTATTCATTCATTCATTCATTCATCCATTTATTTATTCAAAGAATGTTTATAGATCCAAAGAAGTAGGAAGAAAATTAGAAGGCTTTGAAAGAAAAGTATTTCTTGAGACACTTTATTGCTCCCATTTTTTATACAGGAAAAACCCAAAGAAAGAGTCTCTGAAAATACATTCACCCACCTCCCCCACAAAATATATATATATACAGTTATACAGTTATATATATATATAACTGTAGTTAAGTGAAAAAATTAACTAAATCAGTTAGATTAAAATGAGCCAAATGCTGTTGGGCTGTCATTAGTGAGGCATGTTGAAGCTGCTTGGCAATCTAGCCCCTTTATAAGAAAAAAGTTAGACGTAAAAATATACTGCAAAAGGCAGGTGATTGATATATATTTATATCGCTGTACAGTTTGTGTTTGAAAGAAACTTTGTTGGTATCCTTCATTCCTAAAAGCATTTCAGACAGATTTTTTTGTATCTTTTTTAAAAAATATATATATGTTTTTATTGTTTTTAGAGAGAGAGGAAGGGAGAGGGAGAGAGAGATAGAAACATTGATGAGAGAGGAACATCGATGGGCTGCCTCCTACATGCCCCCTACTCAGGATTGAGCCAATAACCACTGAGTCTGGCTGCATTTTTATTTTTAACACCTAGGCAATTAAAATTGCGTGGGAGTGTTCTCTTATTAAGCAGAAAATTAATGTCTGTTTGAGCAATTTTACTTAGCCAAGGGAGTCTGGACAAATTTCTTCAATTTTGCTAGAGCTCCCTTGTCTTACACCTGGCTCTGAAGACACCTTTTCTCCCACCACACAGACCTGGAACCACAGGATGTTCTCTCCCTTCTAAGTCTCCTTCCTCCACCCACCTCTTGGGCTATAAGTCCATCCTCTAAACCTAAGTGCGGTGAATAATTGTTCCAGGGTCCTTCACGGGGCAAGACATTTGCAGAGCTTTGACTGATGCATGGCTTGAGCCAGAATAACCATCCCAAGTCCTGTCCTAAAAGCTCATGTAATAATTGTGCTAATTATGGAAGAAGCTTAAAATACAAATCAACAAATAGCAATGCATAGGTCTTACTAGGTCCTGACTTAACCAATTAAGTTTTTAAAGAATATACTCATTTATGAGACAAATGTAAGTATGGAAACCTTCTGGATATTTCATGATATTAAAGAATTGCTCATTTTTCAGATAGATAATGATAAGATTACATTGTTGAATCATAATAAATATTTAGAGACTTATACTAAAAATCTTTGCACATGAAAATGACATATTCAGGATTTGCTTTCAAAACATGGAGGAGGACAATAATTCTGTGCCACAATATTTAATATCAAATAATTTCTTGGTTCTTTAACAAATAATTTTTTTCCATAGTGACCACTGATACACTTATTTTGCAGCTGAGATTTTTGTACCTTAACTGTGGAAGTATAAAATTAATCTCCAATGAAAAAGGCAGCTTTTATTTTTACATGTGACTATTTATCTTCCCATAGAACTTTATTTCATTTTTTTTGTTATAACAATGCCAGGTATTGTTCTAGACCAGCCGTGGGCAAACTACGGATCCGGCCCATTTGAAGTGAATAAAACTAAAAAAAAAAAAAGACCGTACCCTTTTATGTAATGATGTTTACTTTGAATTTATATTAGTTCACACAAACACTCCATCCATGCTTTTGTTCTGGCCCTCCGGTCCAGTTTAAGAACCTATTGTGGCCCTCGAGTCAAAAAGTTTGCCCACCCCTGTTCTAGACACAGAGCACTCTTGAGAGAGGCTCTAGGCCCATCAGTGAACCAAACACATCCCTGCCCTCATGGAGCTTGTAGTCTAGCAAAAGGGGAGAAGAGGTCAGGTTATAAGCAATGCACACAAATAATCAAAATCCTTCTGCAGCTACCTACTGGCCGCTAGGGGATGAGCAGTGTAGGGTGAGAGGCAGCATGGGCAGGAGAAAGGCTCTGACGTTGGGTCTGAATTCCAACTGGATTCTTCAATTATCAGCTAAGGGGTCTTGGGAAAGTAACCTAATCTCTAGGACAGTGATGGTGAACCTTTTGAGCTCGGCATGTCAGCATTTTGAAAAACCCTAACTTAACTCTGGTGCCGTGTCATATATAGAAATTTTTTGATATTTACAACCATAGTAAAACAAAGACTTATATTTTTCATATTTATTTTATATATTTAAATGCCATTTAACAAAGAAAAATCAACCAAAAAAATGAGTTCGCGTGTCACCTCTGACAAGCGTGTCATAGGTTCGCCATTACTGCTCTATGAGGTTCAACACCCCCTTTTATAACCACAGCTAACTTTCAGAGTTATTGTGAAAATTAAATCAGATAAAACCTGTAAAGCAACCTGGCCTATCATGGGCACTCAATTACTGGTAATTTTGATTGTATTTTCATGTATGATTGCTCTGGTCTCCTTCCAAATTCAAGTAATTCTGAAACTCTTAAATGATGCTGAACTGGGGAGTCTTCAACCTTGGATGTGATATTGGTTAGAGTCTCTTTTATACTATACTAGAGGCCCAGTGCACAAAATTCATTCATTCAGGCGGGCGTCCCTTAGCCCGGCCTGCGCCCTCTCACAGTCCAGGAGCCCTTGGGAAATGTCCGACTGGGGAGTGGGCCTGCACCATCAGTGGGACATCCTTAGTTTTGCCAAGGAGATGGGAGAGGTTCCCACCACCGCTGCTGCTCTCGCCAGCCGTCAGACTGGCTTGTGGCTGAGCGGTTCTCCCCCTGTGGGAGCTCACTGACCACTATGAGGCAGCTCCTGCATTGAGTATCTGACCCCTGGTGGTCAGTGTGCATCATAGCGACTGGTCATTCCACCGTTCATTCGATTTGCATATTAGCCTTTTCTTATATAGGACGCTGCCATCCTAATGTTGGGCGGTCCAAATGGGGCCCCATGGTCATTGAAGTGGGGATTATGGTTTCCCTGTCTGTACCTAGAACTTGAGCATAAAACCCATAACCTCTATTTTCATTTCATTTGGCCAGTATTTTAATTTCATTTTGTTTATTTTTTAATATACTTCATTTTGTAGAGCAGTTTTAGGTCCACAGCGAAACTGAGGAGAAAGTAGAGAGTTCCCCAAACCACTGGCCCCAACACAAACATCCCCCACCAGCATTGTAATTTTGTCAGTGCAAATCACAAACTGTGCCTATTTTCTAAGAAAGAGACAATACAATTCAAAATCAGAGATACAAATAAGTGTTAGGTGGCTTTGACCTCAAGTGTGTATATTTATGGGCACATTATAATTCCTTTTATTCTTCCAATTAATTTGTGAACAGATTGGCCCCTTCCTAAGGCTTCTGCATATTGCCTGGAGGTGATCTTCATCCCCTGTAAACACTTTCCTGGGTACTTTGTGCATTTAGCCCTGACACAGGAGCCCTCAGAAGCCATGCATTCTTTCAGCAAATCACTAAGCACACTATGTGTGTCCTGGGCAGTAAGAGACAGTACCAGGGATGACAGGAAATTCACAGCCCTGCTCCAGAGCTTACATTCTGATGTGAGAGTTGATCTTATTCTATTATCAAAATAACTTGTATTGCAAAGCCTGTTGGGGGAACTGATGGGCTAGAAACTTTGGGGATGACCCTCTTGGTACTTACCAATTGAGCTATTTTTTAACAAGTGTTAGTTGGTGTCTTTAAATAGCATACAGACAAGGATAATGCAATGCAGATGATCTTCAAATGCTGCCAATTCTGGAGATGGCCATTTATGTTGAGCTGTGTGCTTTTTCTTCCCTTTTCAACCGTGCAGGCTTTGGGAGCGGGATGGCCTACCTGCCGGCCGTGGTCATGGTGGGCAGATACTTTCAGAAAAGGCGCGCCCTTGCCCAGGGCCTCAGCACCACGGGGACCGGCTTTGGCACCTTCCTCATGACGGTCTTGCTGAAGTACCTGTGCGCGGAGTATGGGTGGCGGAACGCGATGTTCATCCAAGGCGCCGTCTCCTTAAACCTGTGTGTTTGCGGGGCGCTCATGAGGCCCCTCTCTCCTGGGAAGGAGGGAAAGGACCCAGCAGGGAGAGATCCGCAAGTCCCCCCTGCCCACTCCACGGAATCAGTTAAGTCCAGTGGACAGCTGGGCAGGGCAGACGAAAAGGAGGGCAGTCCCGGGCGCGAGGAGACCCTGGGTGACCTTGCAGACCAGGCGTGCCCCGAGGAGGCCGGGCACAGGAGGAACATGTGCGCCTTTCGGATGCTGAAGATGGTGAGCCAGCTGACCCTCAGGGTCAGGAAGGGCTTCCAGGAATGGTACTCCGGCTATTTTGGGGCAGCCTCACTCTTTACTAATAGGGTGTTTGTAGCCTTTATTTTCTGGGCTCTGTTTGCATACAGCAGCTTTGTCATCCCTTTCATTCACCTCCCAGAAATAGTCAATTTGTATAATTTATCAGAGCAAAACGACATTTTCCCTCTGACGTCAATTATAGCAATAGTTCATATCTTTGGGAAAGTGATCCTGGGCATCGTGGCGGACTTGCCCTGCATCAGCGTCTGGAATGTCTTCCTGATGGCCAACTTCACCCTTGTGCTCAGTATTTTCCTTCTGCCACTGATGCACACATATGCCAGCCTGGCCGTCATCTGCGCTCTGATAGGCTTTTCCAGCGGTTACTTCTCCCTGATGCCCGTAGTGACTGAAGACTTGGTGGGGATTGAGCACCTGGCCAATGCCTATGGCATCATCATCTGTGCTAACGGCATCTCTGCATTGCTGGGACCACCGTTTGCAGGTAATTGCGCAAGGTTTTATTTTATTTTATTTTACTTTTATTTTTGTATTGATTTCGGAGAGGAAGGTAGAGGGAGAGAGAGATAGAAACATCAAACGCAAGGTTTTATTTTATTTTATTTTTTTATTGATTTTGGAGAGGAAGGTAGAGGGGGAGAGAGATAGAAACATCAACAATGAGAATCATTGATTAGCTGCCTCCTGCATGCCCCCTACTGGTGATCGAGCCCACAACCCAGGCATGTGCCCTGATGGGGAATCGAACCCAGACCTCCTGGTTCATAGGTTGACTTAACCACTGAGCCACTCTGGTCAGGCAACCATACAAGGTTTTAAAGCTTAGAGTGCATGTAGATTGTTAGGTTGTGTTCTCATCGATGTTATGAAGTCCAAGGTAAATAAGAAGGAAGTTTCCATTTGTGTACATGCCTCTTACTCCTTTTCATTCCTGCCCCCAAATTTCTCACTTATACATTTTAGCAAGGTAAAGGTCATTCTTTCATGTAGAATGCACATGAACTTTTGATCCTTATCTACAAAGTAAGCTGCCAGCGGTCAAGTGGATAGACAAGAGGATAGTGCAGAGCCCTGCCAGGACTGAAGGGGGCAGCCTCTCCCCAGCTCCAGCTGATTTCTGTCACCAAGCAAAATGGAGAACTATTGTCTGATCTTCTATTGTTGGGGGGAGAAGGGGGGAGGTCTCCCAATAGAAACTAAGACTGGGACACTTAGGTGACATTTCCAGATTTTAAAAAGACTGTAAATCCAACAGAACACATCTATGGGCTGGATCTAGCCCTGTAGTAATTTTCTATTGCTGCTGGAATAAATTGCCTTGAACGTAGTGGCTTCAAACAGTACAGATTTATGATCTTACAGTTGTAGAGGTCAGGCTAAATTGGATCACAATGGGTTAAAATCAAGGTGTCAGCAGAACTAAGGAGGAATCTGTTTCCTTGCCTTATACAGCTTCTGGAGGCTGCCTGCTTTTTTGGCCCCTGGTCCCTTCTTCCAACCTCTAATCCAGCAGCACAACATCTTCTCATCTCTCTCTGATTCTGACTCTCATGCCTCCTTCTTTTACTTATGAAGACACCCATGATTACACTGGGTCCACCAGATCATCCAGGATAATCCCCCACCTCAAAGCCTTTAACATAATTGCATCAGCAAAATCCCCTTTGTCACGTAAGGTAACATTCACAGGTTCCAGGGATTGAGACTTGGGCATTTGGGGAGAGTTGGAGCATTCTGCTTACCTCAGGCTTAGTTGCCAGACATCTAAGATAAGTTCTCTCACATGTATTCACCTCAGTTCAACAGAAAGTTTGCTTTTTGCAATGGGCATACCAGAAGTCCTATGCCAGGCCAAGTACCTCTCTGCAGCCTCTTATGGGGAGGGTTTACACTTTGTGGAAAGGCACATAAGGGTTGGGAAGGTAGACTCAATCCCCAAGAGGCCAGGTACTGGGGAAAGATGACAGGATCTACCCTCTGTCTAAGGATTGAAGTCAGGGACTGAGGCCAAGTGTCTGGAGATGGCTATCACGGTGACCAGGCCAGGGCTGGCGGCAATTATCATAGCTGCCAGAGGTTGTAAGCAGTGTTATAAACTAACCTGGTAGAGCCTCAACTCTTCACATGTCCCTGCTCACATCCTCTGCAGGAATACCTCTTCCCAGTGGATGGATAACCCATGGGTACAGGACAAAACCTTCCCCATCCCTTCCTTCCCCCTCTTTGTATATATCCTGCAGTTATTGCCTGTCCTAGGAACCCACTGGTGGAAGGCATATGGTGACACACCCATATTTAAGTCCCCATCAGAATTTGAAGTTTAAGAAGTCATGAATTTTGGCTGCATGGCTAATAGCACTGGCAACTGAGTGACTAAGGTTAAGGCCCAAGAATCACGTTAGGAAATTTGAAGGCTATCTACAGGATCTCCTGGATCAGGCTGCTCCTCCTCTCTGCCTATGCACAGACGCAGACACAGTATTTCTAGGTGACAAACTATTGTCAGCTGAATAGTCTGAACTTGCTCATTGATCTCATTGTACAGAATTCTCTATCAGTTAGGGAAGCCTTTGGCCATAAGAGAACACCCTGCCGATGGTAGCTTAAACAGAGATTTAATTGTGTCATGTAACCAGAAATCTAGAGTCCTGGGACTAGATGATAGTGGGACTAAATGATAGGGCTCCTCCACAACATTCTCATTTAAATATGAAGGAGGGAGGAAGGAAAGACTCAATTCCAGCAGACTTCTACTTATATCTAATTGGCCAGAACTGTGTCGCACAGCTAGTCTAAGCTTCTAGGGGGACTGGGAATTGGAGTAGTTTCTTTTCAGCCTTTGTACAAGAAGAAGGAAAAGAGAAAAGAATTGGGATTGGGTGTTGGATCAGTCAACCAATGGTACTTTCCAGAGATGTTAAACTGAAATATCCATTAAGGGGACAGGGTTTTTGTGGCTCGCCTACCCTCTTGTTGGAGGTCCTTCATATATAGTGTATGTGGAAATGGAATCTGTCATTGATGGTCCTTTGCATGATCCACAGGTACTTTCTGCTTCCCATGGTCAGTCTGGGATTATTTTTATACTGACCACCAGATTTCAAGAGCAGCATCACAACACAGCTGTGAGGTGCTGCATAAGTAATTCATGATCAACGTTAATTAAAGCACCAAAATTTGCCAGCTTGGTTTCCTTGTCCTATTCCTATGATCATGTCCTCACACATTTGAATTCTAGTGCACTTTCTTGAGTGAAAGAAAAAGGAATTGCAACTAGAAGACAGGCAGAGTCCCCTGGTGGGTTGGGTAAGTTGGTTGGAGTGTCGTCCCATACACCAGAGGTGGTGTGTTTGATTCCTGGTCAGAGCACATACCCAGGTTAGGGGTTCAATCCCCAGTTGGGGTAGGTACAGGAGGCAACCGATCGATATTTCTCTTTCTCTCTAATCAATAAAGATTAAATTAAAATCTTTAAAAAGGCTTCATATATTATTAAAAAATGGAGAAGAAGCCAGGGAGTTAGTTATACCCAGTCTTTAGTCATCAGGCGTTATCTCTACCTGCTTCAAGGTTCCTCCCTAGAAGTGGACTCTAAATGAATGCGACTCACCACGATGGTAGAAACCGTGTATTAATGGTTCAGAACCTTCTATGAAGGTGCGTCAAATGCTGCTATGGAGACTCTAAAATCAATGCTATGATGTGCATCTCTAGGCCAGCAGCCTAAAGAGGACTTTGCTTCTTTTTGTTTGTTTCTTCTCCTCCCACTGAACCCATGCACTAAGGAACGCTGAACACATCACTGGCTAACCACATTGTGTCTAAGTCATTGACTTTCCTGGCCAAGAAGCCAACCCTGCAGTGAGATGCAAGCCCAGCCTTTATGCATTGTAGTTCAGAAGTGACTGGCAATATGAGCGACTCAATAACATTAAAATCTTGCTAGAAGTTTCAGGTGGGCTAGAAATTACTTAGCTGGATTTGCTACAAGGTAAATTACTGTTCACATCACCTTTTAAAAATGGGTTTGGAAATGAATGTGTTTTTCATTTTGCAAAGCAGTTTCTACTGGCATCAAAAATTCTGGTACAATTTAGTAGCAATCACACATTTCCATTAAGGAGAAGAATGTATAATCAAAGACATTGAACAGATATTTTCACCATGTCACTTAGCAGCATGAATTTCTTGGTCTAATTCATTTATAATATTGCTGGGCATTCAGTTCTTCTCCTTTAAAGATGTAATAATAATAGATACTTTTCTAAATTTTTCCAGTGTAAAATGTAGCAAAACTCGGCCGACAGATTTGACTGACCAAGAAGCTACACATATTTCCTCCAATTACTTGAAATATAACACCTAATAACAATTTGCAATGTTTTCCACCAAAAGCTGGGAAAACATTTAATAAGTAAGAAAAACAGCTGTCATTCATCATTTGACAGACTCAAATGAAAAGGAAATGTAATTTTATAGGGAACCAGATTTTACTTTGAAGCTGTTGATTTGAATTGATGGTTGGATCCAGAGTTGCCAAGCATCCCAGGCTGCAAACCAAGGAACCAGGATTAGACCTGTAGGTAGAGATGGTTAAGGATAGCTTGTCTGAAACCTCTGGTTTCTGAAGAGTTTTGTTCACATGTGCTGCGTCAAAACAAGTGGTCAAGTACAGCATCTCGTGACTTGCTTTACATCTGACTCAGAACTGAGTTGAGTGCAAACTAGAGGTGCCAAAGAAAGATAAAAGGATCCAGAGTCATTTAAAAAGAAATCTTAAAGGTAGATTGGAGAAACCTATGGGATTAATCAAACATAAAATTGTGGACTATTCCTCCAATTTGTATTGTTGTTTGGTGAAGTTGGGTGTACTTTTTAAAAAAGTAACTTTTAAATACTGGGATCCCGGATTGCAAGAGGGCACAGGCCAGGCCAAGGGACCCCAGCGGTGCACAATCGGGGCTGGGGAGGGACGCAGGAAGTTGGTCAGCCAGAGAGGGATCAGGGGAGGGCTCCAGGGCATGGCTGGCCCATCTCACTCAGTCCCAATTGGGCCAGACCCCAGCAGCAAGCTAACCTACCAGTTGGAACGTCTGCCCCCTGGTGGTCAGTGCATATCATAGTGAGCGGTTGAGTGGCCTTAGTATATATCATTAGCATATTACGCTTTGATTGGTTGAATGGCTGACCGGTCGACCAGACACTTAGCATATTAGGCTTTTATTATATAGGATACTTAGCAGACGTTTTCTGTAGTCTGCAGAGACAAGAGGAAGCCTGGTGTGGTGGGAAGGAGGTGTGAGGATGTTCCAAGGGTGATAGTGTTTATTATTATACCCTCCAGAAGGGGGAATAAATAGTACATGTACAGAGGAGGAGCCAAGATAAATGTGTTTGAAACTTCAAAATATTTAGTATGGCTTGTGCTCGTGGTCAGCTCAGGGCAGTAAGGGAGAGCGGTGGGAAGAACACATCAAAAAGCCTTGGAACTTAGATTAACCACTCACCCAAAAAGTAAATCATCTGAACTAAAAACAAATTAATTTTCCAGCCAGTTAGGATTTTGTCCTGTTTTGAAGTCTGTGCTAAGCAGCAATGGTATTTCAGCAACTCCTTGCAGCTATGAGTGTTTGTTGTTTAGAGCCATCATTTTCTACTCTGTCAGTTGATCATATGAAAAGTGAAGATTTAACTATTAAAATTACAAGGTCATCTTTCCTCTGGGAAGAGTGGAGTATGAGAACCTCATTTACAGTTATTGATGTTTTTAAATGGTCGCTTATGGATAGTCCCGTTGTGTGTATACTCCATATACATGTACAGACTTCTCTGCGTTATCTGCAAAGGACTCATTCATTGGTCATGATTCACAGTGGTCCACGGTGGCCAAGTGGTGACACTGAGCAGAAGTTTTTGTTTGTTTGTTTGTTTTGTTTTGTTTTGTTCATATGTCAGTGCGCCTTTCTGATTTAGTTCTGAGGCAGAGTCATTATTTTCAGATTATATGTCTAATCTTTTCTGTTCCTCTTGCCTCAAATTGGAGATTAAGACGATAGAGCATTTTACAAAGCCACATGGAAAGAGTCTGATATTTTCTTTTTTTTAATCAAATGACAAACTCAAAACTTGGTTAACTTTTAAAGTGTATCCAGAATTCATAGCTTTGGGGTGGTTAAAAATTATAATTTTTAATGCTGTTAGTGTTTGTTTTTCTTTATGACTATCATGACTGATCCAGGCACATCCACTGTGCACTAGATACAGTAAACAACATGATATGGAGAACTACCAGGAAGTCAGAGGTGCTGGCTCCTCCTTTAACAGTTACTTTCGTGGAGTTATTTGTTGGTGGGAGAAGGTTAAGTTGCATATATGCATTCATTTGACAGTAATATATTTTTTAAAAACATATTTTGAAATGTGGCCATGAAATGCTGTGTTTGGTCATTAAATCACTTATATTTTTCTGATGCCTTTGCTAATGAATGCACTTGAAATGGAAAAGGCAAATGCTTATGCTTACATTTTTACCATAAATAAAATTTTTGTGTGTGGCTTAATCCTCTGTTTGCATTGTTGGCTATGTGGGGACCATGGCATGTGACTGACTCTTAGAATTAATCACTGAAGGGAAAGAAACATATTATAGTTTCTGAGACTTTTTTTCATGTTTAACATCTCTAAAATCAGAATGCATTTTACAAAGTCCTACAAAACATTGAGTCATATTTTAATTGACAAGGATATGTCTTTCTTATTGATACATAAGGTAGGAATAAATAATGTAATTCATGGTATCTTAGAATCAATGAAATACTGTAGTATTTTATAGAGTGACCAGTAAAATTATTAACCGAAAGTATTAGATTACAATATTAGAGTATTATTTGAAAGGAACTGATAATTTAATTGGCATTTAAGGCTATCTATTTGGCAACCTTAATTTTCGTAAGTATAAAGTTTTATAGCTGTAAATATGAATTTTGTAGAACCTGGGAAATGTAATTCTTTCTGAAATGGATGTTTACCCTCATACACTTCAGAATGACAGAAAGCCCAACTGACTTCTTGTAAGCCTCTTGATATACACTAGAAATGTCTTCAAAACTGTTTTTGAAGATTTTGGAAAAGATTTGTATTTATATTTGTAAAAAACCAAAATCATTAGATTCATTTTTCCATTGCTGGCTTTGTGCCTGCCTGAGAATTACCCCGAGGGCTATGAGCAGAAGAATTCTCCAGCATGGGTTCCGCAGGCTACTGTTACAGTGCCTTAAAAAGTGTCCCCAGGGCTTAGAAGATAAATGCACTCATCCCCAGGTACTGAGGACTTTGGTTCATACAGCCCAGACTTAAAAAGGGCTAGAGGAAAAGTTTTAGGCATTAAATGACATACACATATATTATAGACATATTTATAGTCACAATAAGTGCTTGCTTTGTGTTGTTGACTTTAATTTAGCAACTATATTACACTGAATATATTCTTTTTTGTTTTGTAGGGTGGATCTACGACATCACACAAAAATATGATTTTTCCTTCTATATATGTGGTTTACTTTACCTGGTAGGAATCCTCTTTTTACTCATTCAACCATGTATTCAGATTATAGAACAATCCAGAAAGAAATGCATGGGTGGCACACAGGTGTAGTGTCACGTGATGTTTCATGTGAGATTTCCTTGTGGTTCTCACGCCTACCTCGCCTGGTCGCTGTGAGGAGCCAATGACATATCGTGGGAAAACGCTTTTGTACGGTCACTGGCACTGTCATTTGTAAATGCCATCGTCATTGCTTCATGTAAGAGCTGCACTGCCTTCTTCCACTTGGGGAGAAGTGATGAATGGTATTAAGGACTTCACGCGTTGTAGGGGTGACAATGTCCTTCAAAGACAGCCTATTAGTAATTGGTAGAAATGCCCTCATAAAAACCGTTTTCTCTCGCCATCCACTGGGACTAGGGTTTTAGATACAGCTTTTTAAAACAGAGACAAGGAATAAAAGCTTTTCAGCCCAACTACTGGCAGACCTCATTATATTGCGCTTCACTTTATTGCTTTTCACAGATATTGTGTTTTTTACAAATCGAAGGCAAGACCCTCCACCAGCAAAAGGGTTGCAACTTGCTTTATTGTGACTCTCACTTTGCTGCAGTGGTCTGGAACCAAATGCGCAATATCTCTCAGGTCTGCCTGCACTGTGTAAAGTGACAATAAAATATCTAAACGCTTCTGGGAAGCTCACAGATAAATGGGTTTTAAGCACAAGAATATGACTAGGTTTCAGAAATTCATTGTTACAGGAAGCCATTGATCTCTCACTGTAAAATAAATACAGGCTGTAATTTCAAAGGTAATACATATAGTACAATTAAAGAAAAAATGTCTATTTTTATGAAAGAATTCTGCAGCTCGGGAGTACAATTTCTCAATCTTCCTCCAAGAAAAGCATTTGCCATCAATCCTAATCCAATAAGATCCAGTTATACACGGAATCTTAAGACAAAACCTAAATAACAATTTCCTTAGTGAAAGTTGTATTTGTACTCACAACTTCTGAATCAAGGGCTATGATTCAAGCACTTTAGTTCATATCATCCTCCTCTTTGTTTATGAGCACTATCTGGGGCCTATAAAAATTTTTTTTTGCCCTAACCGGTTTGGCTCAGTGGATAGAGCGTCAGCCTGCGGACTGAAAGGTCCCAGGTTCAATTCCGGTCAAGGGCATGTACCTTGGTTGCGGGCACATCCCCAGTAGGAGGTGTGCAGGAGGCAGCTGATTGATGTTTCTAACTCTCTATCCCTCTCCCTTCCTCTCTGTAAAAAATCAATAAAATACATTAAAAAAATTTTTTTTTCTGAGTTCTCGTGCTCGGTAAATAAAATAGAGAACTAATTGCGGGTTGATATGAAGTTGGTGGTTAAATCATTTGTAAAATGTGTTACAAATCCAGAATATAAGACTCTGAGGTTGTGAGGGTAATAAACAGAACCGCCTTGGTGTGGGTGTCTGTGCACCTGACCTTGGAGTAGTGGTAGCAAACAGCCCCTCTCCAGTGGCTGAGCTATACACAGTTAAAAACAGTTTCCTGAACTATTTCCTACAGAAGATAACTGTGATCCATGACATCAAATTCTCTTCTTTTATCTGAGAGCTCTATTTTTCTAAGCCAAAGATTTTTCAGATTGCAGAATGTTCTTCCCAGAATCATTTTGAAATTTCTGGCTGCCTTACTTGTTTACACATATTTTAGAACTGTTTAAATTTCTACTCACAATTTGCTCATCACACACAAAAATCCTCTAATATCATTGCCCAGTGTCTTGGGTCAAATTTATCTAGAGTAAGTACAGACCATTCTCAGTTATCCTTGGTAATTAGAGGCAGGAATGATACTAGTAATTAGAAACACAGAATGCTACCCCCTGCCTAATTTGGCTAATGGTTTCAGTGTCTTACTCTATGAAACACTTCAGAGCTGTTGACATGTAATTGCATAGAGATAAGTTTCCTCTTTGTTTCATCTTCAGTATTTTCTGCCCTGATGCCTAGTGGGAGGGGTTGCGCAGTGAGAGGGGCCCCGAAAATAACAATAATAATAAAAGGCAGCTAATGAAAAGGAGAAACAAGAGCATGGCTAGTATACACACTCAATGTTACCTCCAATGATTCAAGAATTGCCTGTAAATTAGTTTAGTTAATAAATGGCATGACACACTCCATTTTGTTCAACACAATGACCTATTTAGTACCATTACAGCTTTGGCTGCTATTAACGAACTCAGCTCTCTATTTTGATAAATGTAATATGAAATGCTGAGGCAATGCGCTCTCTCTCTCTCTCTCTCTCTCTCTCTCTCTCTTTCTCTCTCTCTAAATCTACATATGACAAAATTAGGATGGTTAGATGGAAAAACATGTGTTTTAAAACTGACCACAGAACTTCATTACTTTCATGTTCTGACAACACCAAATTAACAAGAGGCAGTGTTCAAGATTTTGAATGGTGCTCTAGCCAATGCATTTTGATGCTCACACTGCTGGTTATGCAATCATAAATATCAACTTTTATCCAATGACCCGGCTTCAGTATCATGTCTAAGTTAAACCTGCTCACCTTCAGTTTGTACCGTTGTTTGTTGACTGACTGTTTTTACAGAAGTGGTGGTTTCTACCACACAGAAGTTCTCATTTTACAAAAATAGGGTAAAATCTGCCTGCAATATTCACGTTGACAACAGAATAATAGAGAATGCTATAAAGAATTATAGCACATGTATTATTTCCTGTTTAAAATGTTATTATTTACAGTTCTTTGAAGATATTATAAAAGGTTAATTGTGTATTTGTGCTTCGTAGTTTTCCCCTCATGTATCCAAGTAATTTTAATTTATGTACAACTAAATAAATGTTGTCCTGTTTAAAGATGGTCAGTGAGTTTTTGTATAAAATCTCTAATTTTTTTACCTTAAAAGGAAAACTCCTAAAGTGTAACTGATGACTATCTGTTTGGTTTTTCCCCCTTGGAAGTTTTTATTAGGTGTGGTCATAAAACCACCTGGAGAGAATCACCCAGGGTGTCCAAAGTGCCAAGTCCAGCTATTAAATTTAAAATGCACACACCTCTTAATCTAAAGAATGCATTTCTAAAATATTTTCCTACACATGGACAAAGATGAACAGAATTTTTTATTATTTATTGTTTGTTATATGAAAGACTGTAAACATTTTTATTGTCCATCATTAGGGAACTGTTAAATAAAATATGGTACTTATGCAAATATTGTTTTAAAGATATATCCATATATAAAATAGAAAAATAATATCTAAGATAGACTGCCAAAAGAAAAAAGCAAGATAATGTACTCACAATTGTACTTTGTTAACAACAAAAGAAAGTTACTCACAGGGCCTCTATATGTATGGAACATTTCTGGAAGGAGACACAAGAAAACATGAATAGTGGTTGGCTCTGGTGAGCAAAGTTTAGGGATTTGGGCAGGTCTGACTTTTTTCCTTATGCACATAATGCTCTTTCGATTTAAAACTTATAGCCAATATTATTTTAAATGCAGATTCTTGAGGCTACTTAAAACCTAGTAAATTGGAATCTTGGGGGATGGGGCCAAAAAACCTGCCTTTTAAATAAGCTTATCAGTCAATTCTTATGTGCACTAAGATTGGAGATACATCATCAACATATTTACAAGTAAAACATTCCAATCAATTTCAAATACTTGTCCTGACTCTCTCTCATCGATTATTTGCTTTTATACAACATCCTGGCCAATTACTATATTCAGAGCACTCATAGTGTATATTTTTATTCTACTACATCATTCTGCTTCCATGGTAGTTTTTCAATCAGCAAATGTAAATCGGGCTTCCATAAGAACAAGGCAGGCTGATGCCTGTGCCTGTGTCTAGCGAGCATGCAGAAGTAAGCTGCTGTTGCACAGAACTACAAGTGACAAAGTGATCATTAAGCTAAGGGAAAGTTGACTGGTAACCTGTTCAGATGAAACTGTAATTAATAATATAACAGAATACATAGGGGTTCAGTAAGATGACTGAAGAACTATCATCAGTTTGTCTACTTGTCAACTGAAAAATAGACTACCAAGGCTAGACTAGGGGTCTCAAACTCTTGAGTCGCAGATCCCTTTTGTATTCCTAAAACACAATGAAGACCCAAAGATATGTTGTTTTTGTAGGCTGTATTTTATTGATATTTACCATATTAGAAAGCAGAACAGAAAATGTTTCAATATTTATGTATTAACTTTAAAATAATAATAATGAGCCTACTGTGTTAATATAAACCCATGTTTATGAAAAGTAACCATGTTTTCCCCAAAGATATTTAGTAAGAATAGTGGTATTGTTTTACATTTTTGCAAATTTCTTTAATCTCTGGCATAATAAAAGACAACTAGATTCTTATTTCTTCTGCATTCATTCTGTTGTAATGTGTAGTTTTGATTGACATATATGAAGAAAATTCAGCCTCATACTTGTATGTAGTTGGAAAGCGGTGGGATATTTTTAAGTCCTTCCAAATAATTGTGTGTGTGTTTTCAACAAGTATTTCTTAAAGGTTACTTGCAGTGTGGAATCCAATATAATATCAGTGAACTTTTGGTAAAATGTTACATTAATATCTATTGATCTGTCTCACATTTTGAATAGATCTTTTACCTATTTGTGATTTTGTAACATAATGCTTAAGTCATTTGGAAAATATTGGTTCACTGAGTTCTTAGATCTTCCAAATGTTTTCGTATTTCATACAATATTTTAAAACATCACTTGATTTTTGTGTGATTCCATTTATATGAAACTAGAGGCTTGGTGCACAAAATTCATGCACAGGGGTGGGGGGTCCCTCAGCCCAGCCTGCACCCTCTCACAATCCAGGACCTTTTGGGGGATGTCTGACTGCCAATTTAGGCCCGATCCTGGGAGAGATCAGGCCTAAACTGGCAGTCAGACATCCCTCTTTCAATCCGAGACCGCTGGCTCCTAACTGCTTGTCTGCCTGCCTGCCTGATCATCCCTAATCACTCGCCTGCTTGCTTGATTACCCCTATCCACTCTGCCTGCCTGCTTGATCACCCCTAACTGCTCACCTGCCTGCCTGATCATCCCTAATCACTTGCTTGCTTGCTTGATTACCCCTATCCACTCTGCCTGCTTGCCTGATCACCCCTAACTGCTCACCTGCCTGCCTGATCACCCCTAACCACCTCTGCCTCATAGGAAGGGTAGCAGATGTACAGCTAATTACCATGTTTCTCTTTTATTAGATAGGATGTTCAGAATAGACAAATTCATAGAGAAAGTATATTAGTGGTTGTCAGAGGCCAAGAGGAGACAGGAATGTGGAGTGATTGCTAATGGGCATGGGGTATCTTTTGGGGGTGATGAAAATGTTCTGGAACTAGATAATGGTGATGATTGCACCAATTTGTGAATATATCTAAACCACTTTAAAGAGGTAAATTGTATGGTATGTGAATTATTTCTCAATTATTTCTCATGGAGGGTGATATACATTTTTCAAAATTCTAATTTCCTTTTGAAAGCTTAAATATTACCATTGGCAACAACTACTGCAGTTATTTTCCTTGAAGTGACAGTCTCCTTTTCAGTAACGTGTCTGCCAAACAAACAAACATGGCATTTCATGAAAAAAGCAGTTCAGGCTGCACCTCAGGTACACGAGTGCTTATCATCAAGACCATTGGGCTTGGATTAGAAGCAGATGAGCTATGTGCATATGTACTCCCCGTTTGCCATAAGGAATATGAAAAAGAAGATGTGGATTCAGGTAAAGACTGAATAGAATGCAGTGATTTTTACTGTTTCACCAGGACATCCTTAAGTAAATCTTGCCATTATTTGACTGCAAGCACATGGCAGTGAAAAACATGACCTCCAGAACATGTTGTCACTGCTTTGGCTCACACTAATGCACCAGGGTTTGACCCACGGTTGCTTTTGCAACCATGAGAATGAATAATGGTATTCAGTATGTTGACTGTTCCAAGCATTCACGTGAGAGGAGTTTTGATTAGTTGGTGTGATAATGAATACAAGAAAACGATGAATCCAAACAGATCTACTGATTTGTCTGTTTGGAAGACAAAAGTAAAGATCTGCAGATATTAACTCAGCCTCATGTCTTCAGCTAAATCTTTACTTTGATAAGACACTGAGTCATAAGAAAGTGATACCTCTGTGATGTCTTCTGCTGACACTCCACCCAGCACACACGCATTCAGCAGTGTCAGCTGTGGGCCTGTCTGCCTTTCTGCAGGCAATCCAGTGCAGTCTCTTACCCTACTGAGTACTGCAGTGCTTTTGCATTGCTGGTCTGAAAAGCTTTAATGATCAATTTTTGGCATTTAATGAGCTCATCACATCCACATTTAAAATATTCAATTCCTTTTTTCTGTAAACTCTGAATGATTGCTCTCAAAATGCCACACTTTAAGAGGTACCGAAAAGGTACAATTTTGACTTCAGAAAGTCAAGGAAAAGATACCTTTTGAGTCATGTTTTAAGATTTCAATGCCAACTTTTTCAGCATCTTAGGCTCAGATGGTGCAGTTATGGCTAAGAAAGCTAAGTTTTAAGATTTCAATGCCAACTTTTTCAGCATCTTTAGGCTCAGATGGTGCAGTTATGGCTAAGAAAGCTAAACTCCCTTTTAAAAGCTCATGATCCACCCTTAAATATAATAATGGTGTGGCTTATGTGACCTGGAGGTCTCCAACATCAAAATGTTCAGAGAGCAGCGAGGTGGGAGAAGAATGCTGATGCTGAACTGCAAAGACTGAGAAGCAGCAGCATTTGTCGCCAAGGAGGGGGGAGCTGAGCCATGGTGGGGGAGCAGAGACCACTGGCAGTGCACTAAGGGTATTACAAATGAACTGTGCGGACCAACAATCAGAAGCAGAGAGGGTCTGAGTGGCACTGAGAGCCTCTTCCATTGTCAGACAAGGTAGTGGAGGACAGTGGCAGGAAGAAGCGAGGACTGAGTCTGGGCAAGAACCAGCGAACCATATTCAATTCCTTTACTCAATCCTTTACTTAGATTTTTCTAAGAGCATATGAGCATCTTGAAGATGCTCCTTATTATTTAAATGAATTTAAGATACTTTATAGAAAAATGGGCACTAATTTAGTTCATCGAAGCTTGGAATATTCTGCCCAGCCAGTGTGGCTGAGGTTGAGCGTCGACTTATGAACCAGGAGGTGGCAGTTGGATTCCTGGTCAGGGCACATGATTCTCTCTCATCATTGATGTTTTATGGATTTCATACAGGAAGGGAGAGATAGAAACATCAATGATCCCCCTACTGGGGATCGAGCCGAAACCTGGGCATGTGCCCTGATTGGGAATCCATACCTCCTGGTCCATAGGGTGATGCTCAATCACTGAGCCAAACCGATTGGGCTCTATCTCTCCCTCTCCTTTTCTCTCTGAAATAAAAATAAATTTTAAAAAAAGAAAAGAAAAATGCTTAGAATATTCTCTGGTCGACTAGATTAGAATGGTCTTTTATATTATGTCCTAGGCCCTCTACCGTGTTATTTCAAATGTGACCTTGGACAAATCCCATCACCTTTTCAAGTCCCACTGGTCAAAAGTGGTGTTGGCTGTGAAAGGAGACGTGGTGCTTTTGTGGTTAAGAACATAGAGATGGTAGCTATTGATCTGAATCTCAACTTTACCACTTGTTGGTTATGAGACCTTGGGAAAGTTAACTTGTCCTCTCAGAATAATTTCAGCTTTGCAGGCCATACAGTCTATATTGTGACTCCCTCTGTCATTGTGTGAACATGATCTGTGAACATAAACATGAACTGTGGCCCAATAAAACTTTATATACAGAAATAGGCAGCTGATCAAATTTGACCTATGCCATAGTTTATTTACCCCTCATCTATAAGAGAGAAATAATATCACTTACCTTCAAGGCTTTCTGTAAGAATTAAATTGATGACTACCTGTTTATTTCTTGGTACTCAGTATACACTCAAATGGAAACTGCTATTATTTCTAAGGGTGTTCCAACTTGTCTTGACCATGGATCTATGATCCTAACAGTTTCTGGATGGACAGAACAGATTTCCCAGCTGAAAACAACTTTTCTGAATGGAGATCTGCGCTTGAGGGAACGTGATAAGCAGGAAACTGGGAGTCCTGCTCTGTAGCTCCCAGCCCTAGAGGTCCCATGTCTCAAGGGCAAACTCATGATATCCCATTGTGTAAATGATCTCACTTGAAAACAATAACAGGAACGCTAAGACAATAATTGTACTTTGTAAAATGACAATATAGACATTTGTTTTTAACTGCGGATGCACATTTTTCTTTGGTATGGTGGTACCTTGTCTATATAACGTTTTGCATCCAGTTCAAGATACACATTTCAAGTCGAAACCAACTGTTCAAAGTTGAAAAACCTGGACCCTCTCTCATAATATTTCCTTAACACGAACTGGAGATAAAGGTCATTACTGTAAAACTCAGATCAAAAAACTATGCTGCACAAGTGTTTTATGTTTACATTATTCTTCAGCATCTTGTAAGTTTATTTGGGGGAAAAAATGAGGGCTGATGACCACCATGTAAAAGGAGCTTGGAAAACAATGACAAATGGTGACTCATGATTTGTCCCTACCCCTGCCCCAAATCATCATCTCACCCAAATTCATGGGCCTACTCGGTAAAATAAAATATTTTGCATCCCATATAACCAAGGTTTAATGCACATAATATGCCAAAAAAGCAGTAATAGAAATTGATATTAGGTAAAATATATTTATTTTTTTAGTTTATAAATTAAATATTCACATTTGTCGTTAATAAATTGTTCTAACTTTAAAGCATATAAAACATAAAAAAATCAATATTTTACTTTGGTAGTTACAATGGTAAATGATAACAGTAGAAACACTTTTCACTGGAAAGATGAGAAAGAGCAAGATTATAAAATGCTGTGGCATTTCACTCTGAAGTGGTGTGTCATAAACAAAGCAGATTTATCCATCCCCATGAAAGCTGTCAATAGAGACAGAGAGGCAAAGCATCGACATATTTTCACTTGATGGCTTGTCATGAGGCTCTAACAAGGAAAGGAGGAGGGGGGAGGGCAAATGTTTCCACGCCAGAGGATCCAGGATTTTAGGTCAATGATATTGTTCATGTTTTGGCAAAAATAATGATTGCCAGGTAATAAGGCACCCAAATTATTAAGGCAAATAATTATACCTTAATAATCTAGTAATCTATGTTTTAAACCTATTCTTTAACAATGATCAACACATTAATAACATTTTAATTATTTACCTTTAGCATCTATTTTTATATTACAGTATTATATACAGATACTAAAAGTTTTCCAGTGGCCAAATGTGTGTTCTCACTGATTCCTGTTGAATCTACATTATGCACACCCATAAGCTTTTAGAATCTGTTAGTTGATAAAACACAATCCATGACATTTTTGAGCTGTCGACATTTTGCATCAATGCAACAAATGAGTTGTGATTTTATATTCATACAGTTATGTTGACATACCAAATTGTACATCCACATAAATGCTGCACACACATGGTACTGACCTGTGTTCTGTCACTGAAAACCTGGCCAAAAGTGAAGGAACTTCAGGGAGAAATACCAGTAGGCAGCAGGAGCCGTGCAGAAGTAGGTGTCCTCTGCCCGCCTGCCAGTCACCCTACACCTGGCAGGACCACTCCTGAGCAGAGAACAAGGCCTGGGTCTCTCGCCAATTAGATCTTTGCTCTGTGCTTGGACTAAATCCAGACATGACTTTGACAGGCTCCTCACCTGCAAGGCAGCAGCTGACATTTGATTTCACAGATGTCCCCGCAAATCTATGACCAAGTGTTAAGGGTATATGTGAATGGGGGTTAAAATCTGATTTGCTATTAACACAGGTTTAGTTAAAAAGAAAAAAAAAGCCCTAGCTAGTTTGCTCAGTGGATAGAGCATCGGCCTTCGGACCAGAGTCCTGAGTTCGATTCCAGTCAACTTGGTTGCAGGCTCCTCCCTGGCCAGGCCCTGATCAGGGTGCATGCAGGAGGCAAACAACCGAAGTGTTTCTTTCACATCAATGTTTCTTTCTGTCTTTCCCTCTCTCTTCCACTCTCCCTAAAAATCAGTGGAAAAATATCCTTGAGTGAAGATTAAGAAAAAAGAAAAAATATCTGTCACTAAGCCATAGCTATGAAACCATTCTAGAAGAATCTAGGCGGAGGACAGCCAGCAGTTCACCTCTTCTGCACGATTGGGGAGGTCCCACTGCATCAGGGGAGTCCCTCTGACATGGAGGACGTGGGGTGGAGGGCTATATATGTCATTGTTTTCTAGGTAGCAAAGTGGAGGCTGCAGGAATGAAGAAATGAGGTTAGAAAGGTGATGGGAGGTTGAAAGCTATTTTGTTCTGTAACCTGAAAGGAGTCATGAGATTATCCACTGCTATGAGTTCACTGGGGGACTTAAACCTCACGAGAGCACAGGAAGAAAGCTATTTTTTAAATAACCCATCTCAGCAAGGTGGCATTCCCTCCCCTAAAACTGTAGTGTTTTTACTCCTCTGCCAAGTTAAAAGAATACAAACCACAGGTTTTTACACAGTTACCCACAGCTTGTGTTCTTAAAAATCACAGTTATAAGAGTAGTAACTGTCCACATCCTTTGGGAAACACATCCCTCTAGGAAATATTTATAGGTTTATTTGGCAATGTGAAGTCCTGGGAGGCTGAGCTCTAGACAAGATCTGCAAGGAGCATGCCTGGCCTGGTCGTGGGTTGTCTGCATGGCCATACCCCAGGGCCAGGGCAGGGGTTGTCTGCATGGCGAGATGATGCCCAGCATCCCGGGCCCACAGGGCCAGGTCCTGAATGCAAACTACAAGGAGCAGAGTTGGGAAGACAGTGGCACTCACGGGAGTGCCACCCAGGCCATTGCCCCTCTGGCGACACATGGCCCCTGCTCCATGAATGGATTCAGATGACATACCATCAGCAAAGAATTCAAAAGCTTGGTTCCCTTTTCCAATGCCTAGATGAAACAGATATGTAATAAAAAATCCACTGGTAGCCATTTATTGCAGAAGCAGCCTTTTTTACTTTGGGTGTTGGAGGCTGGGGAAGACATCGCTGGTGGGCTTCCTGTCTTTCAGCCCTTGTGCAGGCCATGATTTCACCTTCACCTTCACCTTCACCTTCACCGGAAGGACTGTGGTTCAGGCAAGGCCCTGCAGAGTGGGGTTTGCTGCATCTGTGAGTAAGTACTTTGTGCTTTTCAGATGACTCCTTGAACCAGCAATGCCTCCTAGTTTTCAATGAAAGGAGAGAGAAGAGATATGGACACAGCAGAAAAACGCAGCCATGCCTCAACATCCCTATCATTGACTGCCTGCCTGGCTTTTTTGATTTTGCTTCTTGCGGAGATGCAACTTTCGAATGAAGAACTTTTGTCTCCAACCCTGGTCCTGGGCCAGAGCCTTCATGGCAGGGGTGATTTCACTAGAGGCCTCAATTATTGGCTCCCACAGTTCGTCAGACGTGCACAGCTGTGGGAGGAAAAAGTCAGAAGTGGGTCACAACTCGTGTGGGTTTAGTGCAAGTCATACACTCACTCATGAGGTCACTACCCACGTCCTGCTGCCTGTGAGACATGGAAAGAAACACTGCATGTGCATGAAGAGGTGCCAGGCATAGCTCCTGCATCCAGAAACTTCCTACGTGAGGAAAGAGGCAAGTGCACAAAGATCTAAAGGACAAAGCAATATTTGATTAACTAAATAAATCCTGATGTCATTACAGATGCAGAATGCAAGATAGTTCTATGTAGTTCGAAAACATTACTTAGCTAATTTCTAATTAGCCACATAGCAGAGGCTGATAATGGTATAGTCAACTGATCTGCCACCCAGCATTGCATTAGAATGAATTAATAGGGAGCAGCTAAATTTGCATCTCTTTTCTTAAAAATTTTTTTTATTGATATCAGAGAGGTAGAAAGAGGGAGCGAGAGATAGAAACATCAATGATGAGAGAGAGTCATTGATCGGCTGCTTGCTGCTTCCTGCACATCCCTACTGGGGATTGAGCCCACAACCAGGGCATGTGCGCTGACCAGGAATCAAACCGTGACCTCCTGGTTCATAGGTCAACGCTTAACCTCTAAGCCACGCTGGCCAAGCTGCATCTATTTTAAGCCCTTGCTCAAGCCATCTCTCCCCTGGGTTTGCACAGCTGACAGCTCAGTCCCCTGCAGGCTACTCAGTGTTGAACTTCATCAAAATGACCAAGCAGCCCTCAGAGACTGCCAGCAGGCACATGGAAAACCTACTCCTTCCTGGTACCACAAGTTTTGCTCCAAGTCCTCTGCACAGATGTCATTGCCCCATGCACCTGGCAAAGTGAGCCGTTCTCTGGAAACAAATTCCTCTGAGACACTCTTCTACAGCCTTGGGCTTTAACCAGGGGCCATGAGGTTAAAGACAGACAAGACCCCTCTGGCCCAATATCTGCACATGTCCATTTTCCCTCCTTCCAACATCAAAGTTGCCACAATTCAGCTTCCATTTACCCAAGATTTCCTAATAGCAGGACTTTTTCAGGTGGCACCATTAGTTATGGCAACACCTCTCATCAGTCCCCTGCTACTAACACACTATTGATAAGGAGCTTTCCTGATACCTTACCTACCACACCCAAATCCGCCCTGAAGGCAGAGCTCCATTTATACTTACTGGGCAGCCCCGACTCACCTCGTTCATGTCTCCCTGCCAAGACTCTTCCAAGCAGGTGGGTCTACTTGACACAGAGTAAGCTATACCCACACACTAGTTGCAAAGGCAGTTTTTATCTTCCTAACCTCTACAGTACACAGAGGCAACTCCATCTAGTGTAAGAGAGTTAAATGAGTGCTGAGCAAAGCAATCCACAGCAATCCCTCCCTCTGTCCTGCTTTGCTCCCTGGGGCCCTAACTTCTTCCTGTACTGCTTCTAGCCCTTAAGGAACAAATTGTGTAAGTGTTTATCTCTATTTCTTGACTCCATTACACTCAATTCTTTTCTCTTTTTTAAAATCTTTATTGTTGAAAGTATTACATATGTCCCTTTTTTTCTCCCATTGACCCCTTATAGACCACCCCCACTCCGCACCCCCTGCCCCAGGCCTCCACTACCATATTGTTTACGTCCATAGGTTATTCATATATTCATACAAGTTCTCTGGTTGATCTCTTCCCCCACCATCTACCCACCTCCACCTTCCCTCTGAGATTCCACAGTCTGTTCCATGCTTCTGTCTCTGGATATATTTTGTTCAACAGTTTATTTTGTATATTAGACTCCACATATGAGTGAGATCATGTGATCCTTGTCTTTCTCTGACTGGCTTATTTCACTTAGCATAATACTCTCCAGGTCCTTCCATGCTGACTCAAATTATACTCATTTCTAAGTAGAAAGCAGCCAATATTCTTAACTTTCATATTTCATGCTACTGTAAAAGTACTCTAATAAAAGAAAAGAATGATTGACAAACAGAAATGAATAGTATAATAAACATAATCACTTAAGATCCTTTCTGCATAAATATCAGAGTAAAAAACTATTATATTCACATAAACAGCAATACTGAATATAGGATAGTGATGGCCCACAAACATTTTGATGTTAGGCAGGTTGTGCATTATCTTAATCCATCTTCAACAGTTATTCAAGGTCTAGTTTCTCTACTCAGATTACAATATATTCTAAATATAAACAGCAAAGGAAAAAGTTAGAAAGTGTCAAAATATTAAAAACAAAACAGATCTGTTCCTTTAAAAGGTTTTAAACTTTTGCCCTAGCCGGTTTGGCTCAGTGGATAGAGCATCGGCCTGCGGACTGAAAGGTCCCAGGTTCGATTCCAGTAAAGGGCATGTACCTTGGTTGCGGGCACATCCCCAGTTTGGGGTGTGCAGGAGGCAGCTGATCGATGTTTCTCTCTCATCGATGTTTCTAACTCTCTATCCTCCCTTCCTCTCTGTAAAAAATCAATAAAATATGTATTTAAAAGGTTTTAAACTTTAATACTAGTATAGATGACTATGCTGTTTCCAGTAAACACATTTCATGGGAGAAAACTATGAGGTTTTGGGAGAAGAGAAAGAATTCTCAAGAGAGCTGAAATTTCCACCAGCATAATTTCATTTGACTCATTTTATACTGAAAACATTTACAGTTTTGTTTTGTATTATAAGTTCGTCATAAAATACCCCCATCTAAGACTACCAAACCCTGGGGCTTTTTTATTTGGTAGATGCCAGGTTGCAAAACACGAGGTATCTATCCTGACTATGGTTTCAGTTACTTTGATTCCAAGCAAAGCAAACTGTGGGCTTGGCGCCCCCTCGTGGTGGCGCGTGAATTTAACATACATAAGCTATAAACTTAATATACATAAGTTTGAAAGGAATCCTAGGGCTTATCTCCTTAAAACCTCTCCTTTTACAAATGGGGAAATTAAAGCTCAGAGAGGATAAGCGTACAGCTGCCAAAGGCTCGTGATGGGAAGTGGTTGAGCTAAGAACAGAACCTAGCTCTCTGGCCTCCTGTGGACTTAAAACGCACATGTCGGCCTGTACACAGTAAAGACAGGAAAATCCCTCTCCCACCCCGAGCTTCCAGCCTTCTAGAATCTCAGATATTTTATCTGTACAACTTTAATATCCATGGGTCAAATTCTTGGACCAGACTCTTAGATTCCAGTTACTGTAAACACAAGAAAAGATGTGAAGAACACAGATGCTGGGCCCACCTCGGCCCTGCGGAATCAGGCCCTCAGGGCTGGGCATCACCAGTTCCACCGCTCCCTGGGTGCTTCTTCCAGGTGGCCAGACTTGGGAATCAAGGTCAAAGGGCACGAGGAAAGTCTGTTTCTCCATAGCCAAAACGTGACGGAGGAGAGGTTTTCTTCCTCAGTGTTCCTGAGTCATGATCAAGATGAACATGTTTATATACTAGTCATGACTGTCCCTCCTGTCTGTGCCTCGGCCTTCTCATCTAGCTGTAGAGGGTTTCCTCAGGTCTACTCTGCTGCAGTTTGCAGAAACAGCAGAGTATCAATGCCCGGTGCCACCGGAGCCAGCCAGCAGGCCCCCAGGCAGGTTCCCACGGCAGCATTAGCTTAGTGAGCTTACCACAATCCCAGGGTTCGCCTTTCAGGGGTTTGCTTCTATTAGCCAGGCTCCCAGAGGAGTGGTTTGCCCTGAGAAATATAAACAGCCAGCCCACCAGACCTACGGGAACTTGTCCATGGAGGCTCTGTGACTTGGTCGACACAGTCAGATCAAGGACTGGCAGCTGGAAGGTCCTGATCGCTGGTGGCATGAAGTTTGCTAAGTGGAAACTTCTTATCTTGACCATGGGATGGCACCACAGGCTCTCCTGGGCTAGGGCCCCCTTCCACCTCTGAATCCACACACTGTGTCTCCACGTTTATCGTTATGCTTCCAAGACAGGCTCATTGCTGCAGAGTCAGGTCTGGCCTAGACACCTTTCTGTCTCATAAAGGTGACCTTGCCATTGCTGCAAAGGTGGCCTAGACACCTTTCTGTCTCATAAAGGTGACCTTGCAGCTCTCGTTTTCAACATGATCCATTAAAACAGCACCTGACCACATCCCTGTCATCTGCCCCATCCCCCCTCAGCTCTACCCTCCAAAAGCCTCTCCAGCTTCGTCTCTGCTCTAGCAGCACTGGCCTTATTCTGTTCTTCACTCTTCAGGGTCTCTGGCACACAGCTCCCTCTGCCTAACCAGGCTACTTCCCACTCAGCCTGGCTAACCCCTACCAGTCAGGTAAATGTCCCTTCTTCAGGGAAGCTCCAAGTCAATTATGTCTCATAGGACCCCGCGCCAGTCCCCTGAGCACTCATCACAGCCGTCACTGTCCAGACAGTTCATTGTGTACTGCCTCTGACCCTCATTCGGGTGTAAGCTCCTTGAATGCAGGGACCATGTCAATCTTACCACCTTCAAGTCCCTAGCACCCAGCACAGTGCCTGGCCCACAGCAGGAACTCAGTGACCACTTGCTGACTGCATATGTTCCTTAGTGGAAAGTTTATGACACTGGCCCACTGACTGGCTGACAGAATGCCTGGGGATCTCAATTCTGCCCTTCACTGGCTGTAGGACCCTGGACAAGTTAATCTTGCTGATTCGTAGCTTCCTTATCCCTAAAGTAAGAATGAAAAATAGGATCTATACCATACAGTTTTTTGAGACTGAAATAAAATAAAGAACTTAAGAGATCTGGCCAGTGTGGCTCCGCTGGTTGAGCATTATCGCATGCATTGGTTAGATTATAGGTCAGGGCACATGCCTGGGTTTCAGGCCCGATAGGGGGCATTCCGGAGATAGCCAATCGATGATTTTCTCTCATCATTGATGTTTCTATCTCTCTCTATCTCTCCTTTCCTTTCTCTGAAATCAATGAAAACATATTTCTACAAAAATTTTAAAGTAAATATTCAACACATGCTTGCTGAAATAAATGCAAGCAATAAATCACTGCCATATTTTTAAAAATACAGAAAAACAACTTTGACAAAGCACAAGAAAAATTCTCTATGGACACAAAATATATGACCATTACCTTTGAAAATCTGTGTGATGTGAGAGAAAGGCTGGCAATATCTTCAATGCCCAGATAAGAAATGATATTCATGAGCAAATTGTCTGAGAGCCGCTCAAGGAAGTCAATTTTACCTTCACACAAATTGAAGACATAGTCCAATATTCTTGCACCGAATACCAAGGCAATTTGAACTGTAATTCAAAGAAAACAACAAACCAAGATGATTATCATGTGCAGTCACAAAAAACTTGATCATTATCAGTAAGTTGCAGGCTTTGGGGCACTTTTTCCCTGAGAGTGCCATTATATTATGCTGAGTCATTCCTACTTTCACCAAGCTGCCTGTGGGCCCAGTGGCCTGCATTTGGAGGCGATTGTTTCCCATTGCTACCCCTGCCCGAGGGTCAGAACCTTTTAGGGACACTCAGTGTATAACATAGTGATGGACTACATCCCCTTGATCTCATCAGCATAAATTCCAGACCAGACATCTGACTTAACCAGTCTCAGCAACATCATCATCCCCACCCTCACAACCTCCCGACTGGGCACAGATGCTGGTTCATGTAGTTTTTCTGCCGCCTCTTCTCTCCTCAGATGGGTCTGAAATATATATCTCTTAATTTTGTTTAATTATTATTCTCTTGTTATTTGTAGCTTCTCCACCAAAGTTTCTTCCTTCCATTTTATCTTCTTTTTTTTTTTTTTTAAATAGTTTATTGATTGTTAGAGAGAGAGGAAGGAAGAAGAAAGAAACATCTATCAACATGTGAGAGCACAGCATCAATAGGCTGCTTCCTACAAGTCCCCTACCTGGGGTCAAGCCTGCAACCCGGAATGTGCCTTCTTTGTTTAAAAAAAGAAAATAGTTTATTGATTGTTAGAGAGAGAGGGAGGAAGAAGAAAGAAACATCTATCGACATGTGAGAGCACAGCATCGATAGGCTGCTTCCTACACGTCCCCTACCTGGGGTCAAGCCTGCAACCCGGAATGTGCCCTGACCAGAAATCGGACCAGTAACCCTTTTGGTGCCTGGGATGACGCTCACCCAATTGAGCCACACCAGCCAGGGCCCGCTTTACCTTCTTTTTACCCTTATCTTTACACAGTAGGAAAAAAATAGAGGCAAAGAGAAAGATAGATGAATATTTCATGAAAATTGTGTTAAGTTTTGCCCAATATTTTTCACACCGTTTTTGTGATTTCCAAATTAGGACACAGTTCACAAAGAATCAACCAATATAATCATCTACCTCACATGTTCAATATAAGGGGAAGTGGGGTGTTTTTTTAACCCAAGCTCCCTGAATAACCAAAAAATAGCTAATAAATAGGAAAACATGTTTGGAAGGATACATATTCAAATTTTAACAGTGGTTAAATCTGGAGGGAGACTTTTACTTTTTTGTTTGTCTGTATTTTCTAATCTTTCTACTGACAAGAAAAAAAATTCTGCGATGTCCTAAATTAAATTACAGCAGACCAAAAATAAATAAAAATAAAATAAATAAATTACGGCAGACCAGAGGATGGTAGGAAGAGACAAGAGAGGTTAATGAGTTAACAACTACAGGGCAAAACCAACAAAAGACTGCTTACATTCCCGAGTGTATGCTGAAACTTTGAGCTAACTTCCAGGTGGCTATTTCAGAGATTATCCAGAGAGAACAGCTGACCATTAGTGCCACAGGATCTTGCTTATGCATTAACTTTCCAGACTGTTGCCCGAAATCAATACAAAAGAGCCAACATTTCTTCCTTCCAGGCTCTGCACCTGTCCCAGAACTCGCTTGCTTCACCTTCTCCCACCCCTTTATCTATAGCCAATGTAAATTCTTTCAAAACAACTTTCATCTTTCTTCCCCAAACTTAATGCAGAAAAGAGCCAGTCAATGCCAAGATGGCAGACTTGTAGTCTTCTCCATCTGGCTGTGGGTTAGGCTGCACACCCCAGGACCTGGTCCTTTTTCTGGCTGGCATAAGGCTCAACAAACCCTTTCTTTTAGAGAAGCTTTCGGCTGTGAAGGCTTTTGTTTACCATTATAATAACCCCATATTACCAGTGTAATTTTTTAAAATCTAGAAAAGAAGGGAGGGAGATGGGGAAGAAGGAGGGATAAAAGGAGAAAGGGAGAAGGGAAGGGAGAAAAAAATATAACTTCCAAAATAGTTGCTCTATAGTCAGTTGGAAATTGGTTCTCTGAAAACTCAGTTTAAGGTGGCTTAACAACTAGGATTTTTCTTTCTCCCTCACACAGTTAGATTCTGAAGGTAGGCCGCACAGACTGCTGCCAGAGCTCTATTAAGTTATTAATGTCCCAGGGTCCTTTTATCTCTGTTTCACATTCTAGGATGTGGCTCTCATCCTTGGGGGGCATGCTAACATGGTTCCTGTACCAAGACATCAACCAGGGTGCGGCAGGTAAAGGGGGCAGGGCAATGAACAAAAATGTCCATGGAGGCTGGGTCTGTCCCTGTCAGAAGGGCCCTTCTGGGGAGCTCTATAAAAGAACTTAGCTCACATCTTACTGAGAAAAAGTAGGTCACACAGCCACAAGTGCAAGGTAGGGGCAAATGCCAACTCTGTCTTAAGGGGAAAAAATAGAATAAAGAAAACAAAAAGAAAGGAGAAAATGGGAGCCAAACAAAAAAAGCAAAGAAAAAGTATGATAAGATAAAAGCATAGCCCTAGCCGGTTTAGCTCAGTGGATAGAGCATCAGCCTGTGGACTGAAGGGTCCCGGGTTCAATTCCAGTCAAGGGCACATGACCAGATTGTGGGCTCAATCCCCAATGGGGCGCATGCAGGAGGCAGTCCATTGATGATTCTCTCTCATCATTGATATTCCTATCTTTCTATCCTTTTCCCTTCCTCTCTGAAATCAATAAAAATATATATTTAAAAAAAGATAAAAACACAAAATAAGACGATAGAAATTACTGGCATAGTGGTAATCATAATCAATGTAAATGAACTAATCTGGCAAGGTAAAAGACTCTCAGATAAATAACACATGCATACACACAAGTATTTCTGCTTATATGCTATTTACTAGAGACATGCTAAGATAATGATATGGAAAAGTACAAGTAAAAGTATAGAAAAAAATCAATTCAAACCAAAAGAAAACATATTACTAGCAGACAAGATATACTTTAAAGTAAAATTCAGTATTGGTGATAAGAAAGACCATTACTTATTGATAAAAGAAATAATTCACCAGGCAGATTTAATACTTCTAAACTAGTATACCCAACTACCCTCAGTAGGGGGAATGATTGAATAAACTATGGTTTATAATGGAATAGAATATCATTGACCATTGAAATAAATGAATTAGATCCGCATATATCAACATAGATAAATCTCAAAAACAGTGTAGATTGATAAAATAAAAAAACTATATAGTATGATACCATTTATGTTAAATTTTAAGCATAAAAATAGTATGTATTATTTATATATAGTTGTAACTATGTATAATAACTATGTTTAGAAATGATACCAACTTTTTAGAACAGTTACTAGGAGAGAATAAAGGGGAAATAGGTAAGAGGTAGAAATCTGACTGTATATGTAACTTTTTAAAAGATATTAATAAATACAGTGCTCACTTCAGCAGCATGTATAATAAAACTGGGATGATAAAGAGAAAATTAACATGACCCCGAGAAAGGATGACACAAAATTAAAACCCTTTAGAGTAGATTCTCTGATCACATGCAATTAAGCCAGAAGTTGGGGGAAGGGAAAGTAATAAAAAAAATCCCAACTACCTGGAAATTAAACAGAATGTTTTAAAATAATTTATGAGTCAAAGAAGAAATCAAAATGAAATTTAGAAAATATTTTAATGTGAATGAGACTATAGATACAATTTATCAAAACTTACCTAGTACAGATACAGAAGCAATTAAAGAACATTTAGTGGGGGGAGATGGCTAAAAACAATGATTAAGCTTCCATCTCAGGAAACTAGAAAGAGAACAACAAATCAGACCTAAAGAAAGTGGTAGAAGGAAATAATAATAAAGGTAAGAGCAGAAATCAACAACTAAAATGGAGAAAATCAGTAGTTCTTTGAAAAAATTAATAAAATGAATAACTTCTCAACAAGATTCATCAAGACAAAAAAAGGGGGGGGTGCACAAATTACCATGATCAAGGAATTAAAAAGAAAACATCACTACAGATACTACAGACATAGAAAGGAGAGGATATTCTGAGCAACTTCACCAACACATTTGATAATCTGGATAAAATGAAGTAAATGTGACTAATGTTAACATTTTCGGTTAGTGGTGTTGGGTATTACTTTCTGTTCTGTTTTGTAGGTGTAAGATATTTCTAAACTTAAAAACTTAGAAAGGTCAAAGTATAGAACACAAGGCATAAGATTCTTCTTTTCGTGTTAACATGTGTTGTATATATGCACAGACCATTTCTTGGAGGATATACAGGAAACTGGCTCCATGTTGTCCTGTAGTGCTTCTGCCCCTAACACTCTCCCATCCCACCCTCCACTCACAGACTGTCCCCAGGTCTGCAGAAACTCCAAGAATCCAGGCTGAAGACCGGGAGTGACTGATCAGAGGAGCAGAGTCAGAGATGGTGGCTAGGCAGGAGAAACTGCAGGTCCAAGGCTGAGATAGAAGGCTGGAGAAAGGACCTAGAGAAAATGGATTATGGATCCATACATGGGGTTGGCCCAGGCTGGAAAGAAGGTAAGGACTGTCTTTTCCAATTTCTATTCCTGCTGTACCCATATTCCTAGGATCTAGAACTCAGTATTTCAGGACATTCATGTTTATTAGTATTATCAGTTTTTCATTATAGTTCTCATTTCAAACATTCAAATTCTCCCCACAATCATCTAAATGCCCAAGGGAATTAAAAAACTTTAACATCAAAATGATTATCTCCCACATTTCCTTTCACATGCAATACCCAAAATAAGAAACCTTCGTCATTTGGTTCAGAAAGTATAGTTGTTGTCATTTGGTTTTATCACAGGGATTTTTGTGGATTACCCTAAATACTTAACCACCACTTAGAACTCATTAAAAGGTCTAAGCAACCAACTTTAAAATGGACAACCAACTTTAAAATGAACGTAAGTTGGAAAACAACTTATTTTTAAGTTGGATTCAATCTCAACCCATGAATCAGCACTTTCAATTGAGTTTATATTGGCACATTTTTACCTTAAACTAAAAATTTTTAAAGTTTCCAACAGCTAATTTCCTGATTGTTCCTATTTATTTAACTTGGGAGGAAAATCTATAGACACTTCCTCCGATTGTTAAAGGTCTCAGAAAAAAAAAAATTTCAAAATTCACAGACAAATGGACAAAGAATACAAACAGGCAAATTACAGAAAGAATATAAATGGCAATTAAACATGACAGGAGGCTCAACTTACTCATTATCAGGATAATGCTAATTAGACAAGATATTGATTTCACTATTTGACTGGAAAGGATGAAGAAAGACAGCAATATCTAATTAGTGATGGCAAAAGTATAAGAAAACTCCTGTATCCTGGTGGACAGAGTATAATTAATACAGCAGCTTTGAGGGGGGGAGGGGGAATTTGTGAATATTGTGAAGTAACAGGCATTTTATATAAGTTTTGAACGATTAGTGGACATTCAGTCCTGTCCAAAATGTCAGGAGACATTTGGTTCATAGTTTATATAAATCCAGTTCTCCTGAAAGATTCAAACCCCAACCCAACTGCCTAATCCCACGGGCCATTACCAGCCAGGTTACCCAGGCAAGAAGGGTTATTGGCAATACAGCCACAACCCAATTATTGGGCCAATGAAATATGATAGTATTTTTAAGGTATTAATCCCATAAACCAAAGGTAGAATAAAGCATTATGGGCTATGTGAACCCAGGGACAGTTTCTAAGTATGGACATTTTGGACAGGATCAAATGTCCTGCAAAGGTTTTAAATTACTCAAAATTGAAATATTGTGACACCAATATATTAACAAAGTCTCATCCTATCTAATAAAAGACAAAAAGGGTAATTGACCGTACCTTCGCTATGTTTCCCATTGGCTAATCAGGGCGATAGGCAAATTAACTGCCAACAAAGATGGCGGTTAATTTGCATACGTAGACGCCAAGCAATGGAGCGAGGCCGGCTGGCCCCGGGCAGGAGCAGCGAGCGAAGGCCAGTGTGGCGAGCGAAGAGCAAAGAGGGAAGCCCACCGCGCCTGCCTCCGCCACGCCCCCGGGGCCCGTGCACAATGAGTGAGGAGCTAAGCCCCTCGCCCGCTGCGCTGGCCCCTCCCAGCGAACAGTGAAGGCCTGGGTTCCGGGTGCCGGAGAAAAACTGGTGCCAGCAGCCAGGGGAAGGGGCCCCTGAGGGGCCCCAGACTGCGAGAGGGCACAGGCTGGGCTGAGGGACCCACCCAAGTGCACAAATTTTTGTGCACCAGGCCTCTAGTTTTATAAATAAACGTTGAAATAATGGCTGCTGTGCTGAGAACAAAGTACTGTGGGGCAAGGGTGGAAAGAGTGAGACCAGATGGAAGGCTGGTTCAATGATCTGGGAGAGAGGTTGTCCTTGGTTGGACCAGAAGTGGAGATGGTTAGAAACATTCATTTGTGTATTAGTTATTTATTGTTGTTCACAAATTACCCCAAAGTTTACTGGCTTAACACAACAAAGGTAATATATATTATCTCACAGTTTCTGAGGTTCAGGAATCTAGAAGTGGTTTAATTGGATGGTTCTGGTTCGGGTTTTGCCTCTCATGAGGTTACAGTCAAGACATCTCGGGTTGCATCATCTGAGACCTAAGGCTGGAAGACCCTCTTATTAAAAAAAACTCATGCACATAGCTGTTGAATGAAGGCCTCGGTTCTTCACCACATGGACCTATCCACAGAGCTGCCTCAGACATGGTAGCTGGCTTCCCCCAGATCAAGTGATGAAAGGGAGAGAGAAAGGGAGAAAAGACAGAAAAGGCCGATTTTGCAGTGTCATTTATAACTTAACCTCGAAAGTGACATACCATCACTTCTGCCAAGTTCTGTTGGTTGCACAACTGATCTAGATACAGTGTGGGAGGGGATTACACAAAAGTGTGAATATTGGTTGGTGGGCATCATTGGGGTCACCACAGTTTGGATTCTAGTTATATCGATGGATTCAATCTAGCATGTAAGAGAATGGAACCAAGGGTAACTATAGAATCTTTGGCTGACATTTTCTGGGCGGGTTTTAGGGGACCATCAGGAGCTATTTTTGGACATGTTACATTTGAGAGGCTACTACATATTTAAGTGAAGACGTTGAGAGGGCAGCTAGATACATTTCTGAGTGTGGAGTTCTGGGAGAGGTACAGGCTGGAGATGAGGGGCTTGTTTATTTACAGTTGGCATTTAAAGCCAGAGCCTTGACCCAACCTATCGAGATGCCCTGGAAGTCAGGGAAGAAAATATCAGCTCGAGCTAAGTGCTACTGAGAAGCCAAGGAAGCAAGAGTGACACAGGTCAGGTCCTTTGCCAAGGATGCCACCAAGACTAACCCAGATTTCTAGACATGTCACCAATGTGTAGGATTTAAACATAATTATTTTGGATGAGAAAATTTTGGTGGGGGGGAGATCTTGGAACTATGACAAAAGATGGGATGGAAACCTAGGCAAACATCATTTTCTTAACAACAACAGCAACCAATGATTAAGAGCCGATTACACACCATGCTGGGTGGAGGCAGAGCCCCTGATCCTGCTCTGTGCCACAGTGCACCCTTCCTTCTGCTGCAGAGAGGCCTTTCTGAGGGGTTCCCTGAGAACCAAGAGAGGAGGGGGACGAATAGCAGTGTGGTTTGGAGGTCTCCCCTCTGCTGGGATGCTGTAGGTCTAAAAAGTGAGAAATGGGAGCTTTTGAACTGAGCTTTTGAACTCACCAGGACAGTTTAATTTGGTATCTCAGCCCCACTCCTGGAGAAAGGCCCCCAGGTAGCCCTGAAATTAGCCGCTCTCCAAACTGCAGTTTTAAAAGCCAGTGTGGGTGCACTCCTTGACTGAATCCCTCCACTCTTCTCTCCAGAAAGGAGGGTTAGAGGGAGTGGGGCAGGCTTCAGTCTGACCCTTAAGTTCCCACTTTATTGCCCATTCCTCCAGGATCAGGAAACACACAAGTGGTTATCCTGAACCTGATGTCACCCTGTCACTCTCCCCTCATTATCTTATCTGGGGGTGGGGTGGGGGAGGTGCGGGTGGGTAGGGGTGTTGAAGGTGCCTGGGGCAAGCAAGGGGCAGGTGAGGACTTGGCCCTTAAGCCTCTATTTAGAAGACAATCACCTCCAATCTGTCCTGCCCAACCCCCATCTCTGGGTTTTGTGGAAGTCAGTCTGAAAATCACATGGTCTGCTGATGAATATTCAGCACTACTAAACATCTAGTTCTGGGTTAGGTACCACAGGGCTTAGAAAATAAAATGGATGTAAACTTGAAAATGGAAAGTGTTTCCTACTTTATTTTATAAGCAGATACCTCTTATTAAATAAGGAAGGAAGGCCTGTACTGATTTTTATTCATGAAACGTGGACAGTCTTTCTCCAACATGGTTCGTTTTAAGCCAATAATGCATTTTATAAATACTTGCTGTAAGAATCCAATATTCTACTATATCTACTGTACTGAATTAAGTACAGAATGACATCGATATTTCAAATGATGATATCTTTGATCCTTCTCTGCCAAATTAATCACTAAAGGGAACTTAACAGCAATAAGTGCATAGCATGCTCCCTTCCTTACTCTGAAGATGTGAATTCTCTCGGAAGTCTTCATGAGATTCTTTTACTTCTCCAGGTTTTGTTGATTGATACCCACTCCTTAGAGAAATCTTCCACCATCTAAAGATGACCTGTGATTGAATAGAAGGTGATCTAAATTAAAACTGATGTAAATACCAACAGCTATGATCTGGTAAAAATCACTCTGGTGGGCACAAAGCCTGTGTCCAACATCAGCTATAACTTGGCAATATGGCATCACATGAAATGAGAAGTGAGGTCTGTGCCTCAGTGAACATTTTCCTAGTCATCAGGGTCACAAAGTCAAAGTGCTAGAGGAAATCTTAAAAATCTATCAAGTCAATCAATGTTAAAATCACTCAGAGCCAAATGACTGTTTCTTGAAGATCTCTGAGAACACAGATTCTCTAACCTGGGGAGCCAATTCCAAAATCATTGCTCCTCCCTCTGCCTCCCTTCCTGTCTACATGACAGACAAGGTGAGGGAATACTGTTCCCCTAGAGAGGGACAGTTACAGGAACAGGGCCAGGAAAGCACCACGAAGCATTGTTTGATGCATGAAAGGGTCACTGCACAAGACACTTCTTGGTAATGGATCTGCTGATAGTCCATTTGACTTCTATAAGCATTTTGATTTATCTGAAGCAAACTTCATTTTCATGGTTATGGACTGCACTGAAGCTCTATGTTGACTTCATGGCAGTGTCAACTACCAGGCCTAATAAGAAGCCCCTTGAACTTTTTCAACTTACCTCACATTTTCCAACCTGTAATGGAACTGGGTAGTTAATTAAGATGACAAAACTCCCATCAACTTGAGCAACAAGTCAAACTATTTCTGCACTAGGGCTACCAGGGAAGATGATTCAGGAGACAATACATATAAATTGCTTGGCTTCAGACAAAATTGTTAAGCAGGTGAAAATTTGCTATGGGGCTTTTTTAAAAAAGAAGAAAAAGTATTTTTTTTTTTTGAGCTTCATCTGCTTTCCTTGGCCAGAATGTTGTGGTGCTGTGAAAACACAAAAAGTATTTTTTTTAAATTGATTTCAGAGAGGAAGGGAGGGGGAGAGAGAGATAGAGACATCAATGATGAGAATCATTGATTGGTTGCCTCCTGCACGCCCCCTACTGGGGATCAGCCTGCAACACAGGCATGTGCCCTGACCAGGAATCAAACTGTGAGCTCCTGGTTCATAGGTCAATGCTCAATCAGAGTCACACCAGCCCTGGCATGGACCTCTTTTTATTTACAGTTTCCTCTCCCCATCCCGACCCACGCAGCACTCCCAGGGGTCCTCCCTGGTCCTGGGTGAACCCTCTTGAGCCACTGCCTTGGTCTCTACTAGTTTTCTACCACTGTTTCCCAGGCTTTGAACTGCCCAGCATCTTACTTTCTCCCCACTCCTTTCCCCTTGCCTGTGGGCCCAGGCTCCTCTCCAGCTTTCCTCTCCTGGGGCTGTCTCCCTCTGC